CTTTTTGAGGAGTGGTCGAATATTGACACGGTTGCTTACGAAGCATGCTGTACTAACTGCATCTGCCCAAAAATATTTAGGAAGATTTGCGTCGCTGAGCATTGTCCTTGCAAGCTCTACCAGTGATTTATTCTTCCGTTCTACGACACCGTTTTGTTGAGGAGTCCTTGGTGCTGAAAAATTATGAGAAATTCCATACTCTTCGCAAAATTCTTCAAAGTCTGAATTTTGGAATTCTCCACCGTGATCGCTTCTTATAGAGGCTATGGTGAGTGATTTCTCATTCTGAATTTGTTTTGCATATTTCTTGAATGCTTTAAAAGCATCACTTTTCTGCACTAAAAACAATGTCCAAGTGTATCGAGAGAAATCATCAACAATAACTAAGGCGTAGAAATTACCTCCGAAGCTTTTTGTTCTCGATGGACCAAAAAGATCCATATGCAACAATTGAAGTGGTCTTGATGTAGAAACCACTTGCTTGGATTTGAAAGTTGTCTTGGTCTGTTTTCCCTTTTGACATGCATCGCATAATTTATCTTTGATGAACTTTATCTTTGGGAGTTCAACAACTAGATCATGCTTTATCAATTTGTTTAAATGCTCCATGTGAATGTGAGCAAATCTTTTATGCCAAAGCCATGCCTCGTTGTTGTTCGCCATAAGACATTTTACCTTCAAGGAAGAGTCATCAAAATAAATCATAAAAATGTTATTATATCTTTTACCTTTTAACAAAATGTCATGAGTGACTTCATGTTCTATCAAGCATTCCTCCTTTGTGAAGTTGATTCGGAACCCTTTGTCACACAATTGACTTATGCTAAGTAGGTTATGTTTAAGGCCTTCCACATAAAGAACGTCTTCGATGATTGTACATGAAGGTGCACCAATGGTTCCAACTCCAAGAATTTTTCCTTTATTATCATTACCGTAAGTGACGTATCCTTTGGCCTTTAATGATAGACTTGAAAATTTGTTTATGTCTCCCGTCATATGCTTCGAGCAACCGCTATCAAGATACCATTGATTAGTGGTTGTCTTCAAGCATACCTACAACACAAAATCAGGTAGTGTTAGGTACCCAAATTGCTTTGGGTCCTTGATAGTTAATACCTTTTTCAACCCACACATAATGCCCTTTAGCAACACCAATATTGCGCACATAGCAAGCATTAGGTGTATGTCCTTTAATTCCACAATAAGAACATGTAGGTTGAAAGTGACTTCTATATCTAGGAACATGGTTCTTTTTCTTTGCAATGCTTTTCTTGTTATGATATTGATGCTGAACTTTAGAAGTGCTGGCCTTTTCTTTAACAATTTGTTCACTTGCTCTTATGAAAACGATCTTATTGGTGCTTGGATTTGAAAATTTAGAATATCCTAATCCACTTTTATCATTAGGATATCTTTGATGTTTTAGAATTTCTTCCAAACCAATTTGACCTTTTTCGTATCTTTTTAAAACTCTTTTGAGTTGAACAATTTGGAAAGATAAAGACTCACACTTCTTACATACAAGACTTTGTTTTTCATCCATCAGTTTCTGTTTTTCATCTTCAATATTTTTCATAAAAACAGAGTTTTGTTCCTCTAAAGAGGAGATTCTTTTCTTTTGTGATGAGATGTTTTTATACAAAGTCTTGCACTCTTTTAGAAGTTCATCTATAATTTCTTGTGCATCATTATCATAAACAGAAAAATTACTACTAACCTCATTTTCTTCATCGGAGTGGTGAGAGGCCATTAACGCCATGTTTGCACATTCATCGTTTTCCGATTCCAATGATGAACTTACTTCTTTGTCGTCCCATGCGACATAAGCCTTCTTCGTTTTGAAATCCTTCTTGCCTTTGAATTTTCCTTTATTTGTGAGTTTCGGGCAATCTGGCTTTATGTGACCTTGTTTCTCACATTCGTAACATGTAATTTCTTGGTTTGATGTGGGTGCCTCCTTTTTCCTAAAATGTCTATTCTTTTTAGAAAAAGAAGAAATTTTATTATTATTAAAAAATTTACCAAGCTTCTTTACTAGAAGCATGAAATTTTCGTCTTCGGAAGATTCGTCATTTTTGTCATCCCTTGTGTCAATCTTCAAGGCAATTCCTTTGGACATCTTGTCTTGACTTTCATGCTTCTCAAGCCTTCCAAGTTCTAGTTCATGCTCTTGAAGTTTGCCAAATAAGGAAGCGGATGTCATTGTTGAAAGACTCTTCTTTTCTAAAATAGCGGTCACCTTTGGTTGCCATTCTTTTGTTAAGGATCTTGGGACTTTCAAGTTGAGATCATCATTGGTGAAGGTCTTCCCGAGAGCAATCAGATGATTAGTTAGATGAACGAATCTCTTTTGTAAGGCAACAATGGACTCACCAGGCTGCATACGGAACATTTCATATTCTTGACTTAAAGTATTAAGTCTTGATCTTTTTACTTCGGCTGTCCCTTCATGCGTTTCTACCAGGGTGTCCCAAATTTCCTTTGCTGATTTACACTATGATATACGGAAGAATTCGTCCATACTGAGAGCGCTTTGAATTATGTTGATTGCTTTCTTCTCATTCAAAATTCTCTTTTTGTCATCTTCATCATATGAGGATTTTATCTTTGGAGTTCCAACACCATTTACCACACTTGTAGGAACATGTGGACCAGTTTCTACGGTTTCCCATATACCATCTCCTTGAGCCTCAAGATGTGCCTTCATACGGATTTTCCAAAAGTCGAAGTATTCTCCAGAAAAGAGTGGTGGCTTGTTACTGCTTCCACCATCTTTGAAATCGGGTTAGTACTAGCGGAAGCCATTAGGATCGATAGGAACAGGTTACCTTAACCTGCTCTGATGCCAATTGTAAGTACATAGTATGCCTAAGAGGGGGGGGGGGGTGAATTAGGCTTTTAGGGACTTTTTCCGGTTTTTCGGTATTCTTGAAATTTTACTGGTTAGGTTCTTGGTGATTAATGCAGTAGAAAATAAAAGGACAGTGGACACCAAGATTTATAGTGGTTCCCCTCACAATCCGAGAGTACTCCACTCCCCTTTCAACACAAAAGAGAGTTTTCACTATTGTTTAATAAAGTACAACCTATCACACCATCAACCGGTGATGCCTACTATCAAACAATAAAAATCAACAAGTGTACAAGAACAATCCTCTTGTAAACACTCACCCTTGTGTCCAACAAACCTGGATCACAAGTCAAAAACAAGTAATCTGAATACTTTGATTTGAGAATAATAATGGTAATATCAATGCTGAGATTGATCTTCTCCCTCTGATCAAAATTCACTCATTTAATTTCAACACAAGTGTTCAATGCTATGCATATGAAAGATATGTTCAATATGAACACTTTTGAAAAGATTTGAAAAGTATTTGAAAGTGGTGAATTTGATTCAAAGAATTGTTTTGAAATTGATTATTGGAGGGTTTTTTTTTCCAATCGAAAAACTCAGAATTTATATTTGTAAACACACCTTTTTCAAAAGGTATATTTGAGTATAATTCAAAATATGAACTGGTATAATTTTTAAAACATTTTTGAACTTGAAACAAGGCCATTTTTCAAAATACGTTCAGTGTTAATCGGTTAACCTATATGGTTAATCGGTTAACACTTGAACGTTATACCAAAATATTCAAAATTTGAAATGGTTAACCGGTTAACCTATATGGTTAATCGGTTAACACTGCTATTTTTCAGAAAAATGCTTATAAAAATAGTGTTATACCAATTCTAATAGTTTAAAAAACATGCTAATGCAATGTGATCAAATGATAAAGATGTTGAACACTTGTATATCAATTAAATTAATGGATTTTGATATACCATAGCTTGTGTCCAAAACTTGAAAGTTGATCAGTCAGATATTCATGAAGCTTTGAATGTTGATCACTTCCATTCCACTTGATCTTGGTCTTTTGAAAGCGTTTGCCTTTTTGCACAGATGAATTATTCTTGATCTTGATGTTGACGTCATCAAAACTTTGAGATGAAACTTGCTTCTACATAATTGTGTGTTTCATAATAGACAATTTTTCACCTTCATGAAAGTATATAAAATAGACAACGAAACATAAAAAAAAAAAAGAGGTCATATGAGCAATTGGGTAACTACTATTGGGAAAGTTCGAGGAGCGAGGTCTGGAAGTGTTAATGGGTCAAACGTTCATAGTTTTAAAAGACTTTGACACCACATACCTCTCATTCCTAGTTGATGTGAGACTTTAACACTTCACACTTAAAATCTAACAATCTCCTCACAAATGTGAGTCACCCACCTCACTAATCTTGATCTACACTAGAATTCACATCCGCCCCCCACCGAACCAACCACACTCTAATACCACTTGTTGAGTAAGTCTAAAGAACGAAATTTGAAAGTATTAAAAGGCCAAATATTCATTGTTTTAAGAAATCTTGACACTATATATCTATCCAAAGTCTTCAAAACCTCACTACCCTAACTTCCCCCGGACAATCACCTTCGAAGAAAAATATCACATAAAATACTAAAGAACAATTTAGTCTTGACTATGAAACTTTAAAAATTTTAGGATGAAATATAGAGTAATTCAAGCTTGTATGATAAATTATGAAATCTCAACATATAAAATCGATGAGCTCTAGGGGCTCATTGCCAACCACAACATCTTCTGTTTCGTCATGGCACCCATGGAGAACTTTTCATCATAATAGTAAAAAACATAAGACCACTTCAGGTTCATAGAACTAATTAAATGAGCTATAAAAACAACACCATATGATATTGGATCCTAAGAAACTAATAATGAAAACATATCTACATTACTTTGATAAACTTCACAAATACATTGAAAAATCCCGAATGCTATGTCCAAATATCTCTCACAACACTCCCTCCAGATATTAGTCGTTGGATCGAGATCAGACAGCACAGATCAAACAATGAACGACTTCTCTAAAATCGTCTTCAATTGCTTGATTGCAGTATCTCCAAAATCCAAATTCCAGAATATCTACATGTTACTCGACATGACAGACAAAGAGACCATGATCTCCGACGTGTCGTCGGAGCTACTAGCACTAGAGAGCCGGTTTTTCTCATCTGTATCAGCGATAGCTTTTTTCTTGATAAACTCAATGCAATCTGCTACAGCTTCGCTATTGTGATGAGTATCATAGTGGCTATAACGTCTTTGCCTCTCTCCATCACCTGAACCACCGTGATTGCTGGTGGTGGTTTTTGAAAATGCAGACAACATCATTAACCGGAAAACAGCTTCCCTGAAACGCTCTAACAATGTCATCGGAGACGGAATCTTGTTCTTGAATGAGTTGCTTTTCAGCCTCGGCATGCATTGACCCTTCATCATTTTGATCCTTTCTTTTCGGTTTACTGGAGATTCTATGCTTGCATTTGAACAATGATTCATAAATATATGTTTGGTATTTGTTTATGTGGAATTTAGCTGTGTGTCTTGTTACTTTGGAATCTCAACTATATGAGGTTTGACTAATACAGTGCTTAGTTGGTTTTTGATGAATTAGATTATTGGTATTTCTATAGGTGGAGGTGTATATTTATTGAGTCATGTTCATGTTACTCAAGTATTCAAATTTTGTCTTTGACTGCTTGAACTAAGAATGCCTCACATGGTTACATGTGCTTGTTAATTTGCATCACATTATACTACTTTCACTTCATCTACACATGAGGGATGAGATGTTTCTTTTTGGAGCCAATTCTAAGAACCTTGAATAATAACGTGCGTCAATTATTATTGTTTAGAATTAACAACACTTAAAAATAAATAATTTGTTAGTCGAAACCAAAGACACAAATTTAAGAAAAAAAATTTGTTCTCAAACGAAAGAAAGTTAGGCAAGTATAAGTTTTTTTTTTTTTTTTTTAAGTTATAAAGGTCAAAGAAATGTTAGACTTATAAGGTTATAAACGAAAAAAATTTAATCGGATTTTTTATAAGTTTATTAAGCTTCATAAAGGTCAAAGAAATGTTAGATTTATAAGTTTTTTTCTATGAAACACGCACATTTCAAATACTATTCCGACACGGACACGATGATACTAGTAATAATTAAAAAAAATGAATAATTTAAATGTAATTATAAGTGTCGATACAGATGTTCAATACCGACACGGGCACTCGAGTTTATTTCAAACTCAAAAATAAAGTTTTAATATTTTATACAATTTTCTATTTTATTTCTGTTTGGATTAAAAATCCATTAGAATTTTTTTCTTTATTTAAACACTCTTGAGAATAGGATTATCTTTTATCATAATAATATTCAGTACTTTTCTTTATCTACTAGATTCTAGAGTTTTATCTGACATGTTTGTCGCTTGTAAATCTGTGCTTTAATTTTGTGTTTAGCGCTTGCTAATATGTACTGTTTTCGACTGCATCAGGTGACATCAAAGCAGATTTTTTCATGTTTCTTTTCGTAGCTTGATCAACCATGAGAGATCAACCATTGACTAGAGCAGACCTTGAGGGAATTACTGCGGCTTTTACCATGACTCTAATTGCTTTGACTGAATAAATGATGACTTTAACAACTAAAATGAACAACGAGAAAGTGAGAAACGGGGGTTGAATTGTGTTTTCTGTTTTCTTAATTTGCGTCTGATCAGAGTTCAGAATCTAAAATTGTGTTGATATTCTGATTATACTTAACAGCAGATGTTAACAGAAACAAATAAATAATAGCAGAAGACACAAAGATTTATGATGGTTCCTCCCAACTGAGAGTATTCTAGTAGATTTATGATAGTTCCTCCCAACTGAGAGTATTATAGTCCCCTTACTTCACAAGAGATTTTTACTATAACCAAATCATGATTACAATGTTTATGCATCCTGCATAAGTCTTTTACACTCCTCAGACCCTAGGTCCAATACTTCTTGCTCAAGTCCTACAGACTCAAGACTTCTGCTCCAAGTTCTATGAAACGAGCCTTCATGCTAAAACCTCTTAGGTTCAAGACTTTTGGTCCAAGTTCCACAAATCCAGCCATCCTGCTTAAGCTACACTGTCCCAAGACTTATGCTCCAGGTTCCATGAAACGAGCCTTCCTGCTCAAACCCCTCAAGTTCAGGACTTCTGCTCCAAGTTCCACAAACTGATCCATCCTGCTCAATCAATCTACTTAATTAAGACTTTTATTGCTTAAACACATAACATGAGACTTACATGACTCAAGCATCTTGGCGAGAGACTTCCTTGCTTGAATCCCAATGATACAAGACTTCTACTCAATCAATCCACTTGATTAAGACTTTCATTACTCAAGCACATAACATGAGACTTACATGGCTCAAGCATCTTGGCGAGAAAGTTAACCTAAACTGCTAAACAAGTTCAGCAGAATAGAGAAAAGGTGTACTTGTTACTAATATCATAGGTATGAGAAATCACCATAACAAAGACCTAAAGCTCTTAAGATTTCTAATATATTCAATGTGTAAGAAATCTTAAGGATTTTACAATTACAACCTACAACAGAAAATTTGCATACACGATAGAGTTGATAACTGTTGGTCTTGTTACTCCTTCATCTGGTTAATCCTTGTTAAAGATTCAGTTTGAACCTTCAGCCACTTATATAGTAGTTGCAGTAGACTAGCCATTACAAGAGATAACTTAATCAAGTGTCTTTGCTTTACTCTATAGTACAAGAGCCGTTAATGAAAGGTACACCAAAAGATCTTGATCCATTGTGTAACATGTTTAACCATTGAGTCTTCAAAAAGATCATGTACTATAGAGCTGTTGAGAGTAGATATCTATAAAGCGTGTCAACCTTTCTTGAGCCTTGAGAATTCATACTCTAACTGACAAACTGATTTGACAATGCAGCTTGCTTTATGCAGTACATACAACTTCAGCTTTATCACCAACTCTGAATAATACTAGAAGCCAATTTATATTCACCAAGTGTAGAGACAATTATGTTGTTTCTTTTGATGTTGATGCCTTCAGCTTCAGAGTCTACGCCAGACATCACTTAGCAAGCATTCTTCAGATTCTACACCATCAGAAGCTAGCAATTCAACTTCTCTCAAGTGTGCCTTTGTATAACAGATTTTGTATATAAATATTTACAAGTATTAGAACCTGCATATAAGAAACACACATCAAATATAATTATTGTTCTTTAAATACCTTGTTATCATCAAAAGCTCAAGGAATATATGTCTTGAACAAATCTTGTTCTAACATAACACAACAACAACGGAAACCAACAAAGATACATGAGAGGCGAACCAATTAGGATTCTGCAGGGTGGAAACAATCGTGCTATTATTGTTGAAAATTTAAGTTGTAAAGAAGAAGCATCCTGCGAGGAAGAGATATTTGATCATAGGAATTGACATGACTATGATTATCGAGTGAATGTTGATATTCCATTATTCTACAGAAGGATGGGAGTGGAGGAGTTTCTAGATTGAGAGATCAACGTTGACAGATTCTTCGACGTCATGGGTGTCTTTTAAAATAACATGTTAAGATGGTGGTGATCAGACTGAAGATTATTGCTGATGTCTGGTGGGATAAACTTGTTGTTCAAGCAAAGGAATGAGCCAGTCAAACTGAAGAATATTGTTGTTGTCTGGTGGGATAAACTAGTAGTGACAAAAATACTTATATAAATGAAACTTATACAAACGATTCTTAATCTATTGGCGGAAAACAGGAAGAAAAAAAAAACAAATAGGTGCTACAATGCTGGCACAATTAGAAAAAGCCTACAAATTGGATTCCAAATATTTAGTCGAGTATAGTCTTGTTTATACGATACTTGATGGTCCTCATACTTCACTTTTTAAGAGTTATGTTGTGTTTCTTGGATGTAACAAAGTTATTATATTGATAAATGATTAGAAAGATGTACTAGAAAAGGTGAAAGATAGCATATGAACATACATTGAGGTATTTATTTTAATTTTCATTAATTTGATATTACTTTACATACTCACTAATACATACTTATTGATGTAATTGTGTAGTTGACGTTTGAGTTTTCCGATGATCCTAAGCTGGAAAAAATGGATGTCTTATGCTGGTATGTGTTGGAGGGTCTTTAAGTCACAACTCACAAAGCTACTACATTAGGAAACCTAAGCCTAATCTTGCGCTTCCATAGGTGATATATAATTTTCTTGATAAGAAGGTTTGGAAAATTTTTGTCAAGTCTCGTAGTTCTGAGGAGTTCTTGCTTAGTACTAATTGTATTTTCTGATAATTTTATGCTATATGCTTTATATATACAACAATGCAAGTTAATATTTTTTACTATGTTTAAAATAGGTTAAAAGTGAAGCAGGATAACTGAACAAAGCAAAAAACAAATACCTCCATAGATTGTCTCGTGGGGGATACAAGAAACTTGAGAAAAAACGATTGATGAAAAAATATAACAACTAGAAGATGAGGACTCCATGAGTCCTGTTCGGCAACCATCTCCACCATCACGATATTATAAGTGAAAGAGGGATCGACAAATACCAAATGAAGACTACACTTCAAATGTCTCAAGATTAGTCGTTGATAAGATTGTAAGTTGGATTCTTTGATATGTGTTACTTAAATTGTTTTGGTAATTAACAATGTATATCTTATCATGTTGTGCATGATTCTTTAGTTATGTCGGCCCGTGAAAGTTCCTTTGTTCCAGAACCATGTCATGATATATTAATAGAAGGAATAGAAATAAAAGAGCATGGTGAGTGTGTTCGTGGTGTTAGAGATGACATCGGCCTGAAATTGTGGTTTACAACATCTAGAAAAAGCTTCGGGCAGGTGCAAAAAGAAACTATTGGAGATTTTGAGAGGAAACTGGAAAGTCAAGAGAAAGATTTTAAAGACTTGTTAGCAGCAGAGTGAGAAAGTCGCATGAAAGAAATAGAAGAGTTTGTTGCAGTATGTGAGAATATTGTGATATCTGAAACATATGATATATATTTTGTTTTGTGTTCGTATGTTTTTTTATTCTTGCATGTGCTGATATTTGAAATATATGATATATATTGTGTTTATATTTGAAATATAGAGATTCAGTGGAACCGTCCCACAATGTACACATGAAGAGAATGATGATCAATTGCCTGCAAGAACTGTTGTACGTGGTGGAAGCATAAAAGAAAGTTGTTCAACCACCCCTACCGATAATGAGATCCATAACGAGTTATTGGCTCCTTCTGAACAATCATATAACAAAATGTTATGTCACCTTATCGACAACGCATACCTAATTTCTTTAGAGCTAGAACATGATCTAGAGTTAGAGTTTTTATATATCGATCCTAAAGATATAAATGATATGGTTGTTAGAAATCGGCGGTTGGAC